TACATAAGTATTAAAAGTGCGCTTTAGTTTTGTTATGTCTTGCAGTATTGTAGATGTATTTCTGTGGTTAGTTATACTTTTGAAAAGTGCAATACAATATACTGTGTGGTAGTACTTCAGCAATACAACTGAAGTACTGAAACCTCATTTGGAAACCATTGTCTACCGAGCAGGAAAAGTAGTAGCTGTACTGCAGTTGTATTGTAGAAGTACTTCAGGTGTGTTGCAATAGCGGTATGGCAGTTGTACTGTAGTAGAACTTCAGTTGTTTTGCCGTAGTAGTACTGCATTATAGTAGTAGTACCACTTCAGTACTATTGCAGTAGTTGTACTGTAGTAGTACTTTAGTTGTATTGCAGTAGTTGTACTGCAGTTGTACTGTAGTAGTACTTTAGTTGTATTTCAGTAGTTGTACTGCAGTTGTACTGTAGTAGTACTTTAGTTGTATTTCAGTAGTTGTACTGCAGTTGTACTGTAGTAGTACTTTAGTTGTATTTCAGTAGATGTACTGCAGTTGGTTGTATTGTAGTACTATGTTTTTTCCTGTCCAAAAAAAGCACTTCTCAGAAGTTAACTAAAACTGCAGTATTGTCGGTGCCAATAGCCTAGTGGTTAAGTGCGCCGACATATAGAACCATGGTGCTCACGGCGACCCGAGTTTGATTCCCGACTCGAGGTCCTATGCTGACCCTTCTCCTCTCTCTGGTCCTAATACTTTCCTGTCTGTCCTCCACTATTCTATCCCAATAAAAGGTGAAAAAGCCCTAAAAAAACATAATTAAAAAAACTGCAGTATTGCTTTAAATAACTGCAGTATTCTTTTTTTTAACTGCAGTCATTTTTTGTAAGGGATATTACCTGCATACAACCTCCAACGAGGCCTGGAGATCATACAGTAATTGTGGGAGGAGCTGGACCGGCCTGCACTGCTTGTGAACGAGCAGCCTGATGGACGTGTTTTCATCACAGAGGTCAGATCTGGTTTCAGCGCTCCTCCTTGAATAATGGTGGACATCAGTGGGGCCCAAGGAGCCCCCAAGAAAGAAGCCCAGGCCCTGAACCACCCTATAGTGCCAGATGGAGGATCAATGGCACGTATGTACAGTACATACTGTATATATTCTATATAGTTATAGAGTAAGATTATAATACAGCTAATTTGACTTTTATTAAGTTTTTATCCCATTGCTGGGTGTTTTGGTGATTGTCCTTGCTATTGACATTCGGCTCTTAAGTTGTTGGGTTCTATCTGACCTGATACTCCAGACAGAAGACGTCACCTGAATGACTAAAAGGAACTTCAAAACGACTACTTATGTGAAGTTACAGACACCAATGCAAGCTACAGTTAGCTGTTGCACACACACAAACAAATAAATCTTGCCTAAATATTTATTGGTAAAATATTTATTAATGTTAATGAATATTTTTATTTAAAACAAAAAAGTTTTCAATAAGAAATGGGTGAGAATACTTTCACTGAAATGAAATTATCTGATTATTTAATCTAACATGTAATACTTATGGAGGTTAAAATAAAAATAAGTGACCACCTAAAAGTTCTTACTGACTATCCTGAACTGAATTAATGCAAATTATTGAGAAAATTCCATGTTTAATGTTATAAATTTGACTAAGAAAATTACCACCGAAAGAAGATTTTTACGTCATTATTGTGTTATATGTGAAAATAAGCAAGTAAACATTTACAAAAATAATATACAATACAAATAAATACTTACAGATTTACATAGCACAAAAGTGTGTAAATGATGACAAAATTATTTTGTGTGTGTGAACTCTCCCTTTATTTCTAGAAATGAGGTTTATTGTACTTTATTGCATTTTAATATGAAAATATGATTTTTAAAAGAATGAAATAATCCTCAAAATAAGAATCTAAAACTTCCAGTAGGTGGTAGTAATGTCTAATGAGTGAGACGATTCGCTCTAACAACTGAATCATACAACAAAGAAGCAAACCCCTGTCTGGACTGTTTAAAACATGGATTCATTCAGAAAGTACGCACAAAAGATCTTCTGTGGCTTTAAAATTCATTTTAAATACCATTCTCAGCACTTTCTTCATTTTTAAATAATAAAAAAGTACATCTGAGTTTTTATTCAAAAATTATTATTTACTCCGTGACCTAGATATTACTGTTACTATATTACAACTGACCTATTGTGTGTGTGTGTGTGTGTGTGTGTGTGTGTGTGTGTGTGTGTGTGTGTGTGTGTGTGTGTGTGTGTTTTATAATTAATGCAATACATTTAAAAACCCAGTTTTCAGTGTCGAGCAATCAGATGAAATGAACTGTTTTGTTATAATCAACTGGAAATGGATTAGATTGGATTTAAGACACTCCAGATTTCTCTCTAATAAAATAAAATAAAAATAATCTGATTGAGTTTCTCCAGATGTAGATGCTCAAAGACATCTTTCCGAGTGCAGGATTGTTCATGAGGCATTTATCAGTACAGTAACACTAATGCTCTTGTGCACAGGAAGAAGCTCCTCAGACAGGAAGTGGAGAGCAGTACTTTGGGAAAGCCTGCTGCTGCTGCTGAATATCTAGAGCACCTGCAGTCCAGATACTGGATCTCTGCTAACCTGCACTCAACTCAACACTGATGCAGCTCCAGGCGGGTTCTCATTCACTGTCACTCTGTGCTTTTGACAAATAAAAGCTTTTGATTTCCTTTGATTAAACCTGTTTCACACATAGCCTATTCTCACAATGCATATTTTCATAATTTTTTATTGAAGACAATGTAAACTGAAGTTTGTTTTAGATTTCTTGCAGTTACAGGCTTCAGACATGAAATATGTGGAAAAGGCGAAGAATAAAATCTAGATATCAGTTTAAAAAGTATAACAATAAGCTGTTTGTCCCTTTAGGCAAAGAATAATGAATAACGCTGTCCTGAAGATCAGCAAGTTTCTCTCACTCGACAAACATCCTCTTTCAGGTGATGATCCTGCTGTTTCCATCATCAAGCATGTTTTACTGTGTAGTGAGATCCAGAAGGGGATTTAGTTGTTTTGTTGTTGCAGATTGTGGAAGAAGCTCCTATGAGAAGCTTGAGTTTGATCCAGAATGGCTGGCCATCTCGACAGCGACAGACAACCTTCAGAAACCATCCCACAGTTTCTGGAACCCTCTGCTGCACAACAGACTACACACAGCAGATACAAAACACATGACATTGATCACATTTGCTTATTTTATAATAACGTTCTCATGCCATATTGACAAAATCGGCTTAAAGGAATAGTTCACTCAATAATGAACATTACCTTAAAATGCACTCATCCTCAAGCTAGCTTCAGAGTACAGTATATGAATGTTTATGGGGTGATGTTCGTTTTTGGGTGAACTTTTCCTTTAGCTTGTTTATGAAAGTGTAGGTAACACATCTACAGGGCATGCACAATGACATAACAAGGCAAAACAAGGGCAATTATTTGAATTTATGTCACAATAGTCAATATTGGAGAGGACAGACTTACAGGGGGAATTTTTTAATAAATGACTTAATCGTCACTTGTTCAATTTAAATATCCTTGTTAAATAAAAGTCTTAATTAAAAAAAAAAGTTATTTTTCTTATAAAAAGGTAGGTTAATATTACTGTTAAAATCAAAGAAATTGTTAAATTATTTAAACTTATGTCACATTTAATTAATGCTTAAAGCATTAAACATTTTATGTATAACTAAATTGGCACAATAGATCTGATCTGAACTAAGACTTAAGATTTTGAGGGAGGCGGTTCTTTCTTTATTTGATCCACTCAGTGGTAGGAGGCCCGAACTTGCAAAACCGTCTGTTTCAAAGAAATGAAAAGAACTGATTCAGTGATGCTTTTTTAATGCAACAAGTAAAAATATACAATCACAGTACATTATAAAGAAATGGAAAGACAAAAAGAAAACAACAAAAAAACAAAACAAACGGTAAAAGAAAAAGATTATATATTTTACAAATTTCTGTTGTTTTTAAAGCCTTTTTTGTAAAAGAGTTAGAAATAGTTTCAGAGTAATACTGCATTTCAGTGAGCAAAATATTAAAAAAGGTTTTTGGTTTGAAAATTATAATTAAATTAAATTAAATTAAATTAAATATATTATATTAATATATAATGTTACATACATACATTATATGTATGTAACATTTTGTTAATAAGATAAGAAGATTTATGTAAAGCTTTTGTTTTATAATTAACAAAACCAAACAAAACATTTTCCCTTAATATGGAAAAATCTTTATCAACATTCTCAATTACAATAAAGGGAAAATCTTTCCTAAGCAACTTAGAATAACTGCCTTGCCAAAATAAGTGAATTAGGTACTGTTAGGTGTTGCTTACAAAATGAATAATTACTTTCAATATCTCCTTTTTTATATCTTGCTAAAGTATTCAATGGGTATGTACCTATTTTACACAGTCTTTGGTATGTACGGTGAATAATTCCAAATGAAACTTATGAAGTAGCTATTTGGAATGAGCCATATTTTCCTCCAATCAATATCAGAAACTAAAGAATTCCAATAAAAGTAACATTTGGAACTGATACAATTCCATTAAGAAATAAAGATTGTACTGATTTGTTTGAAGATTCAGTGATGCTTTTACGTACGTCTCTTCTACGCCTGGATCATCAGCTTGTTTTTATCCACGATTTTGCTAATACATACATATATATTTTTTTCATTATATTTGGCTGTTAGTAGCTTAAAAGGTCTGTCTGACAAATCACTCACGCAAAAGCATCATTATTATTACGAAATTTATTACTCAATCCATCCTAAATATCCATCAGATAGAAGTTCATTTCAGTTTGTCCTTTTAAACAACACTTACTATGTTATGTGCATTGAAAACGTTTTAACAAAAAGTCATTTCAGGTCGACGAATCAGTTCAACTAATGCATTCAAAAGATTCGACTCAAATGAATGATTCGCTTAAGAATCAGACATCGCTAACTTCCGGTCAGCTGACACTACGTCGTCGTTGTTTGCAAACAAAACTACCGTGTGTTCATGCCTGCTCCGTCCACTGACAGACAGCACTCTCAACTGCGGCCATGGGGGAGAACGACGAAAGCGAGATAATTGAGCATCATGACGACGAAGAGATGGAGAAGAGACGGCCGCCGCGGACTCACGCGCAGTCGTTTCTGGAGAGCGTGGCGTCGTCGGTGAAGGAGGGACACAGCAGCACTCAGTCCTCACACCGCCTGCTCGCCTACAGTGATGCCCTCATCTCCATCATCGCCACTGTCATGGTGAGGAAAACTCACACTCAGCCTCTGGGACATCTTACTTATTTATAATATACGTAAACTGTCGTCCACGTGACAGGGCGCATAATGACAATTCCTTGTTATTCCCCATGACTCACTTGTTTTTGAGCTCCATTCAAAAGCTTTTCCTATGAAGTAACGTTACATGTATGATAATGAATTTTAAGAACTGCCTGCTTTTTGTGTTTACAGATTTTGCCTGTTGCACATACAAAAATTCAGGAAGATGAGGTAAACCTATCTTTAGATCATCTTAAAGTGACAGTTCATCCTAAGAAAGAGAATTGTCATCATTTACACACGTTTATGTTGAGCGAAACCTTTGTGACTGTGTGAACACAGAACAAAACGCGTGTCTTCATGTGCATATGTACATACAGTATGTGTTACTTGCAGAAAAGAAAATCATCTGAATTTAAGTCAGTGTTTCTCAACCAGGGGGCACCAGCACACACCCACAAGATGACTTGTAAATTATTTTAAATAAACAGATAAGATATTAGCTAAAAGCCAACTGAAATCGATATTCACTGTAGGCTGAAATCTTATTAACTGCTATAATTTGTTCATTTAGCATCTTTATTTTTCAGTAACTTAATTTTTGTATGTTTTGCAGCTCTAGTGGTATGAAAGCACAGATATGTAAGGTGTTTTTCATTAAAATATACAAAAATCACTTTTTTTTTGGCTTGAAGAATGTTCAAATCCAAAGATATAAGCAGTTTTAACTAATGACATGGATGGATCGTGTCCATTGTTGTCAGACTAATGATGTCATACACCCTCGATACTTTAATATGAGGTGTTTTATTAGACTGCACAAAGCAGACAGAAGTCTGAAATGTGTTTAGTATGATAAAACTGCATGTTATCAGTGAAACCACAGGAATACTTTAGCTCATCCATGAACATCATTTCTCCAGGAATCCTTTAGGATGGATTGAATACCCCGTGATTCCACAAGTTCATGGCGTCATCAAAATACGTCTTTGTTTGTTGTAAATACACTCCCTCTAGAAGCAAAAGTGACTGTCTTTAATAAATAAAACTGCATGCTTCTTGTGATAAAGCATTGTCACTGGAGCTCCTCTTCTCTGTTTATTATGGTTATGACAAGTCACCCAGTATTTTAAACAGTATAAGCACATATTACAACAGGGCTGCACAATATATTGTTTCAGCATCGATATCGAAATGTGTGCATTTACAATTGTCACATCGTAAGACATGCAATGTTGAGTCTGGATTATAGTTGAACAGGAGTTAAAGTATTGTATTAAATTACTCTATACAGAATTTTTATGATTTATGCAAGAAAAGAGAAGTTCTTTTGGCAGATAACTTTGCTTGTTTTTTGCTTATGTTCTTGCCTCTAAACTCTTATTTCTTCCGAAGTTAAAAACAAAACAAAATCTTTACCTGATCTAAGAATTTTTGGATATTTTACAAACTGCATTCACATCGAAGGTGGCGAGAGCATTAAAGTTTGCTCTAACCGCTGTGACGACAACAGCTCCGGCAGTGAGAGCGTCAAAATTTGATATATTAATCTCGTATTTAAAGGAGCAGTTGCAGCATACCAGATAGTAAATCAGTTACATTCCCACATAAAACATGCTTTCTAGCGTGAAAATGTTGCACGTTTTTTCTCAAATTTATTTAACAATGCAAGATTAAGTTGATGCGTGTGGTATGGCTTTGCTTTACTTATCCAATATGTGTCCTTCTGTCTGAAATGTTCTGAAATCGTTATAGCTAGCACGAGATTACCAATTTATTTTTAAAGAAATAAAACATATTTATATCATTAATGCACATCAGTAACTTGCCAGTTACTGTATTTTATTGTATGTCCCTGGAGAAACATCGTAAATAGTTGGAAATACGGCGACCGCAATAATCAACCCATTGGGTAAAAACTGCGGTCTTAAGTTCACAGGACTGTGTTTTCTGGAAACCTCTCAAGTGGTGGACTTAAACATTCTGATTGCTTGCCGCCGAACCACATCATAGTTCATTGCCATAAAGTTGCCTTGATTACAACTCTCCTTGACACCCACACCAGTGAAAGCGCACCGCGCTGCTCCTCGCTGCTTATTGCCATCGGCTCCCATTGAAAATGAATGACTTCCAGCTACTTTGACGTTCTTGCCGCTTTCGGTGTGAATGCACAGTTAGGCCGAAGCAACAAACTGCAGGCTTTGGATGTTTATATCAGTTCTATATCTTCTAAATGCAAATGTTGGCAGTTTTGAAACACACTAGCTAATAGATATCCATAAAACTAACAGACTGAAACTAACGTCTAAATCTTTTGTTTTTTAATTTCATGGGCAGTTTTGTATCAGAGACAGCAGGCGTCGTTGTGGTTGAGAACTGCAGATGTAGAATGATTCATGGGTAGATAAATATATTTTTTAAGCATGAGTGACTGACTGTTTATCTCCTGTTTTCAGGAACTGAAACAGAGTATTCAGGCTTTGCTCACTACTAAGATTGCCGTCTATTTGATGACATTTTTGATAGTCACTGTTGCCTGGGCTGCTCATATCCGGTGAGAGCACTGAATCTCTTTAGTGTCATACATTGCCTTTATTTAAATTCTCCTTTGGTTTATTTGCACAGATTTAATTTAAACATTTGCCTTTAGGTTGTTTCAAGTCATAGAGCGCATCGATGACACACTTGCACTGCTTAACTTGGTGAGAGCGCCAACAAATCATCTATTCATCTTGACTGTCAGAATAATGAAAGTGTCTAACGACTTGAACATTTTTCTTTCAGGCATGTATGATGCTTATAACCTTTCTCCCATACACAGTGAGTAATAATCCTCACGCATGTTTTGAAAGATTACTTGTTCTTCTATTTTATATTTAAGAATAACCCTAAGCTTTAAGCTGTTTGTGATTTACTTTCAATGTTTATTTTATTCGTTGTCATCTCATAGTTCTCTCTGATGGCCACATTTCCGAACAATATTCTTGGGATCTTGCTGTTCTGTGCTTGTGTGATGGTGATTGGTTTAATCCAGGTGAGATTGTTTGCATTGTCAGTGTTTTAAGTCGATGCCCTCTCCGTGAAACACTATATCGATTTTCTGTGTGTCCTCAGGCCTTAATTGTCTTGTATGGATTCAGCCATCCTTTCCTCCTCAATGACCAGATCCAGATGTCTGAGAATCAGGCCTATTACAAGCAGCACATCCTAAAAGTCATCATGAGGGTCCCTATCATGTGCCTCTTTGCCAGCATCTTTTCATTCATCTTCTTCCAGCTGGTTGGTGAATTTACTTATTTACACGAAATGCATGTCATAGTTCATATTCCTACATTATAAACATATATAGACTGACTGGCCAAAAAAAAGTTGCTGGTTGTATTTGGTTGGAAGTATGAGGTGACGTGAAAAAAACAAAACAAACATTCTATTTAGGCAGAAGTGACAAACTATAAGCTTTAAATGTTTATAATGGTGTATGTCTTCTAAGCGTGAAGTTTGTCATTGTTTTGTACCACACTAGCTTTCATTGAAGACTAACATACTGATGCTAACATCTAAATTGTTATTTAAATTTCAATGGACCATTAAGTAGACAAATATTTACAAATATAGTTCACCCAAAAATGGATTTTCTATTGAGTTTCTTTATTCTGTTGAAAAAAAAAAAGATATTTAAAAAGGTACTGACACTCATTGAATTCTATAGTATTTGTTTCCTACTATTGAAGTCATTAGCTGCATTTCCATTGTTGGGCCAGTGCGAGCTAGGACTTTTTTCGGGCTGGGCTGTGCCAATAGCCCGGGAGTATGAGCAGTGAGACTGAAATCATGTTGTGTTTCCACTGTTGGGCTAGTAGCTTGCAGCGCTCAACGAAACCCCGGCCCCAGAACATCCACTGAATCAAAAGTCACACAACCCCACCCAGTTCAGCGGGAATCAGGCAGACAGATAAAGAACACCATCACATCATCATAAATCGATTAAAATGAGGACAACTGAAACAAACATTCATTATATTTGTTTACTCGCCAGCTGACTGTTGTCATCGTGCATAGTGTTTCGAGGATTTATTTAATGTTTTTCTTTTTGTTTCCGATATTTATGATTCTTTAAATGATTTCAATATAGCTTAGGCTATTTTACCTAGAAATGACACTATTGTGTTGAGCCTACAAATGTGGACACTTAATTTATAAAGTTTTATGTCCTTCTGTTTTATTCATATTTTGTATTATCTCCAAAATAAAGAAAGAAACACAGCCACTCGTGGCATCAACAAAGCAGTGAAGCGAGTGCTCTTTCACCTGTTCTCTTGCACACATAGATCTAAGTGCAAGTTTCATTCACAAACACACTTTAAAAAATTGACAAAAAGTTCTTGACAACTGAAAGTTACTGGAGGCTGTCTTTAATATAGTGTAACCACTAAAAAAAGTGGGTTTCCTCCGGGTGCTCCGGTTTCCCTCACAGTCAAAAGATATGCGGTACAGGTGAATTGGGTAGGCTAAATTGTCCGTAATGTAAGAGTCTGTATGGATGTTTCCCAGAGATGGGTTGCAGCTGGAAGGGCATCTGCTGTGCAAAACACATGCTGGATAAGCTGGTGGTTCATTACGCTGTGACGACTACAGATCAATAAAGGGACTAAGCTGAAAATAAAATGAAAAAATTATTATTATGCGTTATTGAAACATAAAGGAGAACACAGCAAAGAAATATCACTTTAAAATAAAACTACTTTATTATTTTATGCAACACCCTTACACTTAAAAGGGAAACATAAGGGCGATCATCAGTAAAAAGACCCCTAGCCTATAAGGTGTTTAATGGAATAGCCTTAAACTTTAAATCCCTTAATCTTAATCTGACCAGCTCTATGTTTTTCTTTACTATGTATTTTTTGGCGCATGTGCTTGTGTGCGCTAGGAAAACTAGTGTTATGGCGGCATGCCATCTTTACCAGACTCAGGCAAACTCTGCTTCTCTTTTCACTTCACCTCGAAGCCCCTGCTGGCCCTCTTTGACAAAAGGTATTTGATGGGGCTTGATCAGGCCCCGGAAGTGTCATTGCTTTAGGTCCAGTAGTGGAAACGAGGCTAATCGGTACCAGCAACAAGCGTTCTTCAGAATATCTTTTTTGAATTCTACTAATGAAAAAAAACTTTCAAAAAAATGTTTAAAACCACATGAGCGAGAATAAATGATCATTTTCATTTTGGGGTGAACTATCCCTTCAGGTCTGTTAATGGATCTTTATTGCACTATTATGTTCGTCTTAAAATATATTTTAATAAACTTGATAGGAACAACGCATGCTTATATTTAAACAAACATTGCTTATTATCTGCAGTGTCTCTGCACACAAAATCACATATTCAAATATAAACATACCCAGAAAACAAAATAATGCCAAAAACATCATTTAAAAAATAAAAAGAAATTCAATTGTGTAAAAATGTTATACAACTGATTTGTCATAAGTATGATAAGTGGAACTTGACTGACTCCACATTACCTATAATTAGTGCCAGACAGCAATTGGACATTTTTTGCTATTTCTGTGCAGAATTTTTTCAAAAATCTGAATTTATGTGGAACGATTTTAAGATTATATCACAAAAAAACTTAACATATGAAATAAATAATACCTTTTTAACTTTTATTTAATGTTTACAGTACAAATCCAATTAAATACACCTATTTGCTAAACAAAACAAATGTCTCACAAAATGTATTGTGAATAAATCAAATGAACATTTTCATATTAGTCAATATCATTACTGAAATTAATTAAACACATTTACTCAATTAAATACATAGACTCAATGATGAACTAAAAATCTGGAAATTGCGGATTATTGAGTGGGCAGATTCCGTGTGGGCTTACCAATAATATATATAAAAAAATAATATTTTATCTTGAATAAAAGGGTCCCACGAAGTGCTTTGAAAAATGCATTTTTATTTGATGTTTGACATATTTCAACTAAAACGAGGGTGGAACATAGTGTAGCTCCTCCTCTTTTTAAACAGCCAATAGCATTTTGTTTTTATCACAGCTCTACTAGTAAAAGTAATTGAGCTCAAGTACTTCAAATGAAAAGCAAATAGGAAGCGTCTTGAAGGGGGCGAGGCATGTCAGATACTAGAGAACATTTGATAAAAACTAACAATACTGATACTAACAAAAAAAAATCTATATATTTTAATTTCATGGGACCTTTAATTATAGACATAATACTTTATAATGCATCAATCTGTTCGCTGTCTTTTAAACTCACTTAAATCAAGCATATTTGATGATTTTTATATTTTTAGTTTTCAATAGTTGTTCTTTTTAGAATGTAATGTAATGAAAAAGGTTTGTTGTCTAGCAATTTTGTCACTTTATTGTACCATGATTATAAACTGTTATAACATGTGAAGACTAATCATTGTATATGGATATTGTTTAGTAAGTGAACAACAACATTATAAACTTGAAATGTTGTGAATTACATTTTACAGCTTCTTTACATGACTTTTATAGTGTAGAATCTAAAGAAGCTTTGCAAGGATTTGCTCACTTCTGCTATTCTAATAGCAACTTTATTTTGAGCAACTAATCAATCAATCAGTCAATAAACATTTCTTCTTTCTTTTTTTTATATATTTTCCCCTGGTAGTCCTACGTCCTTTTGGCTATTGTCATATTCCTGCCCTACATCTCTCAGTGTTTAAAATGGATCCGGAGTAAAGCCATTGGTGGTAAGAGCACATTGTTCCTACACTTCACTTTCTATTCTTATTTTAGATAAATGTGAAATGTGGGATTTATACGTCATCTGAAAGCTGAATCAATAAAAATGTTAGGTTAGGACATTTTCTGGCCAAGACACATTTTATGGAAAATCTGAATTCTGAATGTTCCAAAAAATGCTGTAATGGCAAATCATTTTCTTCCTCTTCACAAGGAACACATTTAAATGTGATGACTGAAATTAAAGTCAGACAAAGTTTGTCTTTCAATTGCTTAGATTCACCGGAGAATGATCAGTTTAATCACAAACAGACTCTCAAACAGAGTTTCTAAAGACAATTTTTCAGATAAGAATTTCTGCTAAGACTTTTTTTTAGATTGTCCCTATTGCACGTTTCTGTTGACTTAAAGGTGCATTGCAACTACAAGCCAATTAATAAACTTTGCAAGTACATGTCAACTTGCACTAACCCCAATCCTAGCCCCAACCTAACAGTCTGCTAATAGTCTAATGAGAATCAGTTGGCATAAAGAGGCAATGTAACTTAAATTCAACAAAATGTGTTTAAATGACCATCAAAATAAAGTGATACAGAATTTCCCTACAGCTCCTTAACTCTTAAGCAACCAGTAGACTACACATGGCTGTAACAGCGCAATGATAATGCATTTGATCTTTACTTTAGCAAAACCTTAATCAACTTATATAGAATTCAATATAGAATTGTCAATCATCAATACATGATCATCAATATTAAACATTTCCATCACAATACTAAGCGATGATAATTACTAATCAAAAATCAAGTTTTGATAGATTTACAGATTTGATTTGATCAATAATAAAGTAATTCTATCCCTATGTTTAAATGTCAGTTTTACTTACAATAGAAATAACAAGTGTCATACTTGTTAGGTGTCATACACAATACAGGATGGTACAGAATTCATAAGAGCAGCATTTCATTAATTTAAAATATGATTACATATTTGTAAATTCAAGTTAATGAATTTGTAAAGTCAAGTTAATGCATCATTGCTGATTATAAGCTTTACAAACAATTATATAGATGCCAATCCTATGAATGGTGGTTCTTCTCACAGAATAATGACTGAGATTTATTAGCCTTATTATCAAAGACTGAAAGAACTTATTCTATGAAAACCACCTACAGCATGACTGTAATGTATATTCTTCTTATTACATGGCTACATGCCACAAACATAAACACCTAGACACAAAACATTGATCTTAGCTGTAATCATTTATTTACTCTTTAATTAAAAAGCAGAAGGAAACAAAAAAAAAAAAACAGCTGTAGTATGGTGCCAAACAGTACCCAGATGAGTCTGTGGGATTTAGTTTCAGCGATTGTTCTCAGGGAGCAACACACTTTGCAATGTTGTGATTTGATCAATCAGAATCAGTTATTCCAGAGAGCTGGGTGTGGGATAATCCGCATTAATCACTATTATTTTGAACTCAGGTCAGACAGACGAAAGTCCCGATTCAATGCCCTTCTACACTTACCACCCCAGTGAGCCGCTGAGTAAAGAGCGAGTAGAGGCGTTCAGTGATGGAGTGTTCGCTATCGTAGCCACGCTGCTCATCTTAGACATTTGGTTTGTCTTCTTGATCATTTGACAAAAGTTCTTTCAAACATGACAAGCAGACTAGTAATAAACGTCTTCCTCCACAGTGAAGGCAATGTGCCCGATCCGTCAGTGGTGAAGAAGAAGTTTGACAACAGCCTCATCGCTGCTCTTCAAGAGTACGGTCCTGAGTATCTGGCCTACTTTGGCTCCTTCGTCACCGTGGGGCTGCTTTGGTTCGTCCATCACTCTCTCTTCCTCCACGTGACCAAGGCCACTCGTCTCATGGGCCTCTTCAACACGTTCTCCCTGGCCTTTGTTGGTGGCCTGCCACTCGCCTACCAGCTCACACACGAGTCTCCCAGAGGCTCCCGTAACGAGCTGGAGGCTGTGCAGATCAGCTGCGTCATTATTTTTTTCGCCAGTCTCTTCCAGTTAGCAATATGGGTGACGGCACTTTTTACGGAGCGCGAGACGTTGCACCCGTACGTGCGATACGGAGGTCGAGAGCACACCTTTATGCTTGCCAAGCTCTCACTGTACCCCTGTGTAGCACTCGGGACCTTCTTCATCACCTGCATCCTGAGCCGCTTCAGCGCGCCGATCTTTCACATGATGGAAATCTGCATACCGTTTGCTTTTCTTTTACTGAGGCTGCTGGTGCGTGTGGCGCTGGCGCTGCTCAGATGGCTCTTCTGCTCTGCCAGGAACGATTTAGAACGCATTCCAGTTGAAGAAGAGGAATCACGGCTGCCCATTAATGATATTGTGACTTAGCAGTGAATGGAGAAGAAGAAAACGCCTCAAGGTTTGATCTAAGATCAAGGTTAAGCTGCTTTCTAGCGCAGTTACTTATGATTAATGCTGCAACTGACAGCTTCTTGCTGTATAAACCATCCATATCAGTCAAATCTCCCTGTGGATGTCTTTGAATGAATGTTGAATGATGTGTCCTAATTCAGAGGCTGCACACTTTTAAGGATGCTGACTTATTAAGGATTAACCAAAGACTATAAATTTATCAAGATGGTTCAGTCTTATTACTTTGAAAGGGAGAAACTGAAATGTGCAGTATGGTGAAAAAAATCCCAGCTTCAGAGTAACACAGCCAATCACCAGCTGGTAAATGTGTCACCTCAGCTGCTGTTAGAAGCACTTAAAGGGGCAGTTCACACAAAAATGTAAAGTGTTCTCAACATAAACGCATATTCTAGTGGTTCCAGTGGTTAAAACAAGACAATCTGAGGGTTGTTGGGAAAAAACAGCTTTTGACATCCATAGTAGAACATAAAAATGTAAAAAAAAAAAAATGTAAAAGTAAATACTGAGAATGTCAATAGCTGTTTCAATCCAAAAACATGATTTTAATAGTTCACACTTAGCTGATGATTGATTATAAAGCTTGTTTGGCATGCTGTCCCTGGAAAAAGCCCTGAGCTAAGATCCTCGAGCCTGGGGCTCCCTCCCGTTTGCAAGGCGAGAGGGGAGTTTGAGCTCAGGTAGATCTCAAGAACTCTCCTGCTGTAGTAGCAAATGAACAGATAGTGATTGCTCTAATAAGATAACTACTTACTAGGAGCATGTCTATGATGCTGATTTAGATTAGTCAATTAACTTAAGTTGCGTGTTTATGGACGGTGGGAGGAACCTCGGGGAAACCCACATGAGCTCGGGCAGAACGTGTAAACTCTGCACAGAAACATCGGTTGGCTTGGTATGGACTAGAACCAGTGACGTTCTTGCTGTGGGGCAACAGTGCTTACCCCTGGGCCACCGTGCCACCCATCAAGAAAATAAGGAGTAGGAGTGGAAGAGGAGATTCTTCAAAACGAAGACAGTGTTTATAGTGGCTTAGGAATCGTCTGATTGGTGACCGGCAGCAAGCAATCATAAGCACGTGATCCTTTCGAAAATAGTTTATAAACTTTACTTCAATTTATGTGCATATACTGAAACATCGCATAGAACTTTGTGAATAATGCACAAATATATATATATATATATAAATATATATGTGTGTATATGTTATATATGGAATTCTTGGCATTTCCATCAAGCATTTGTTTGTGCAATGAATCTAAAATGCACATAAAAATATGTGGATGGAAACAGCTAATGATTGTTTTATTCCACATTCTTCAGTATATCTTCCTCTGTGTTCAACAGAAGAAATAAACTCAAACAGGTTTGGAACAAGAAAAAGACGAATAAACGATGAGAGAATTTACATTTCTGGGTGAACTACCCTTTAAAGACTGTGCACAAGCAGAAATGTAAGCTTTAAGAGGCAGGTCATGACAGTTTATATTGCCAATTTGAAATATTTCGCTATTTTCCGGTTTTAATTGTTTGCCTGATTTTGTTATCAATTTGGTTACCCTTTAATTAGGGCTGCAAATCTACACAGTTCCAACCCCAATTAAACATCTCTGATCACAAACTAATTTAGTCCATTAGGCCTGTTTAAAACCTACAGGTAAGTGTGGTGAAGCAGGGTTGAAACATGCAGGGCTGCGGTTCTCTAGGAACCGAGTTTGACACTTTTCTATCAAGGCAACATTGAAAGAGTTTCACACTAGGTTAGATTTCATCATGCACTTTTGACGCATTTCATCTTGAGTTGCTGTTTTTGAAGGGTGCAGCCTCTGAAATGGGACACACTGATTGATTTCACTTTTTAAAGCAGTGCTCTGTGGACTGTGGAAGAGGCTTTTTTCTTGTATTTATTTATTTTTGGTTTATTTATATATTTTTATGTTTTCCTCTTAAGTCCCATTTAAACAAAGGAAGATAACTATAACAATTAAAATACATTTCTAAAAATCATTTTTAAATGTTCGAAACATTCACAGCCAATCAGAATCCGTCCTGCTTTAAAAAGCACATTTAGAGCAGCACATCACAGACTGACAGTGTGCCTATAATAAACCGAATGTTGTCATCTTTAGTTAATGCAGATGCTGATGTAGTTAAGAGTTATCTTACTGTGAATGGGGTCTTTACAGTTTTCATTAGCGTCGTCTTCTTGTCTTTAGGTTCATTATTAAAAAAGAACTACATAAACATTTGACACTTACAGCCAGTTTTAGTATTCCTGTTATTTTGGCGCATTCATCTGATCTGTGTTTAACCTCACAGTAGTGTCCGCATGATCACAGCCTACTTTTCTGTCTTGTACTTTTATTCTGTTGAAGCTGTGACAAATGCTTTGTAGTGTGCCGCTTGTGTAATGTTTTGTAGGTATCTGCTGTTCATTTAATGCAACTATGAAACTGTCGATACACCTTAAACACTTTAACATCATCTTGATGGAGCATGTAAAAGGAATCAAGATGCATAAGCCATTATAAGAGCTGTTTTTTCTATATTGTTGTTTTTTTTGTATGTATTCAATCAGTGATTTGACTAAACTGACTAAACGTTTTATTTGTACATGATTGCACTTTTTAAGTTGTCAAAATGTTAAGTTCTGTTTTGGGGAATTAGCGTTGTCAGATGAGATGGCACTGAATTAAAAACAAACACATCATTTTGAGAATAAACTGCTTGAAATCAGAAGTCAAAAGTGAAGTTTATTCACCAAATAGCATTGCAATAATAATAGTAATTCTCTCTTTTTTCCCAGTATTGCCCATCATTTGTCTCTGAAAACTTAATATTAAGGTTTTTTTCATTGAACATCAGACATAGACATAAATACATTTTCCCATATTAAAAACAAAAACAATCCATGAAGAGCAAGTAATTCAACCCCATTTTCTGCCACGCTACAATATAATATATCGGGCAATGTTATAAATTAAATCATACAAACCTAAATTGCTAATAATACATTTTTGACATCCACAAAACAAGCGATTAGCTTTTTGGTCTGACAGGATTCAGATGACTACAAATACAACATTCTACATACAGCAGACGTGACAGAAAGAAAAGGTGTAAACCCACTGCAGACGGGAATGAATCAAGTCATATTTCAATTTTAACTGGTCCAAAACTTTAACGGTTATTGCAAATCCACTTTGCTGCATGTTGAATAAAAAAAAACATAAATAATATGTGATAACCAGGACTAAAGGTTTCATTTCCTCATATAAGTGCTGATCAGTCTGATACACTATTTAAAATCTTGTTTTGTAAGCTCTTAATTGCAGTGTGATGTTGCTGTTTTTTACAGCAAAATTGCCAGTACTTTGGTACGTGTTTGTTTGGTAAATATTGAGCAAAATTCAAATTGACGTTTAAAAATGCAGCTCAAATCAAGATCACAGAAAGGACATTTTAAAAAGAAAAGCATATAAACAGCTCACTGTTCAAATCATTTCCTAATATAGTTTCTCTCTTCAAAGCACCAGTGTTGTTGTTGTTTTATTAATATGAAATCACAATAACTAAATCTTTCGACAGTGCAACTAAAACCAATGATCATAAAGGGGAACACAGCAAACCACCCCACAACCCCTAAAAACTATCTTCTCAAGTATTTCTTCCCCCAGAGAGGGGTTTAGTCATGCCGCACTTAAGAAAATAAGACATGTCTAGGTCGTTTTGCATATTTCATAACATCCTATAATATAGAATTGAAGCCTTATTTATATATTACTTCAATAACTGTATAATCTCCATATATATGATCTAGTATATCTTATCTATGTACAATAACACACGTGATGATATGTACAGACGGAAATGAGTTATTCTAGGGCTCACGCAAACACACTCAGTAATGTGAAGGGGAAAGAGAGCATGGCTATTTCAGGCAGTAACAGTAGGACTTGCAGACATGCTTCTGTTCAGCTTCGTTATGCTTTGAGTGTAGGACCCACATAAAAGTGCAAGAGATAGTTCAAGCAAAACTGAAAATCATCATTCACTCGTCCTCCGGTTCTTTCAAACCTGACTCAGTTTCTTTCTTCTGTTGAACACAAAGGAAGATATTTTGAAGCATGTTGGGAAAAATACATTTTCCTACTATGCATGTCAGTGGCTGCTGGTTTCCAACATTCTTCACAATGTCTTATTTTGTGTTCAACAAAAGAAGGAAGCACTTGAGTGTAAGTAAATAATGAAGACATGTTCATTTTTGGTTGAACTGTCCCTTTAAGGCGAGACGCTTCAGGTAAAAGTAGTTCATACATTTCCAACTTTAAGAAGTTGTGCATTTTGGGTTTGTATAAAGTGATTCTTACATGTGATATTAAGAAACAGAAATACAATATACACTTTCAAGTGCTACTTCCTTGCGTTTTATGTGTTTGTGTCTACAGATGTCAATTATGCTTAATCATTTTAAAGTATCTTCTCTAGAAATGTGGAGATATAAATTGTTGTAGACAGAAATCTGCACTTCAGCAGCACCTACAGTACATACACCAAACTTGACTGTTTTTACGTGCGAGTTTCTTTTTCTGCACTATTTCCAAAATGATGTAGAGGGTAAATATGAACCTGACTTCAACCATTGTTTACATTTCAACACAAATGTATGCAAATTGGTGCATACTTAATTAAATAATCCATCATTTGCATATTTAAATGTAGCATTAAAATACAAAATATTAAATAATAAAAATGTAATATTAAAAAATGCTATCTCAATTATTACACTGCAAAAATGCTTTTCCTACATGCTTTTTGTCTTGTTCCTTGTCCAAATATTAAAAATCTCAATCAAGAAGCATTCTCTAGACAAGAGTTTTTCCTTAAAACAAGCTGAATAATCTGCCAGTGATTGAAGTCGAATAATCTTGTTTTCTGGTTGAAATAATATTATTTGACTGGACCCACTGCCACATTCTTTTATTAAAGGAAAAACTTCATTTTGACATATTGTATCTGAAAACAGAACAATATTTGTATTAGTCTAGAACAGGGGTGCCCAAACCTCTTATAAAGAGCCAAACCTCAAACTTAATCGAGGCATGTGGGCCGAATAATATACAAAACCCAATATATCCCACCAAATTTGCCATGGGTCATTTCCTAATTTATCTGCAAATATTTCAATGAATGTTTTAAATCAATAACGAAAGCAGTATCATGTTAACATTTTATAATGAACTTATCAGAGTAAAAACATAATCACATTTATAGCACAATGGAGTTCAATGCTGAAAACACAAGCCGACCAGCTCCTGCCTTTGTCTGATTTGCTTGCTGATGTCTTGTCATCACTTTTTGTCAAGTGCCAGTTTTACATTTAAAAGTCTGCTACATTTACAACATTTAACTGAAACATGTCATTTCAGTACGTTTTTTTTTTTTGTAGCTCAGCATAAAAAAAACCAAAAAAACTAAGGGTTACGTTAAAATCAAAATAACAATCTGTGTCAAACACAACCGCAAATGTCCTGTCTCTCTTTTTTAAATGGGAGGGTGGGCCAAATGAAAGGTTACCATGGGCCAACTTTGTCTGGCAGGCCTTGCTTTGGGCATTTCTCATCTAGAAAATGTTTCTTGATTTAAGAATGGTTCGATATAGAAACAAGACAAAAACTCTAAATAAGAAAAGCATTTTAGCATCATGTAATCAATCAACTGGAGAATCGCGTTGATCATTAGTTTTTGCTAATAATAGTTTTTAGTAATAACTTGAATATTTGATACCCTATTCACCTGCAGTGTCTTGCCCTAAACATTTAAATGTTACCCATGAGAATTACGGCATCTTAAAAACCTGAAGCTGCCACTATGAGCCAGAATCACCATCAAAATCAATGATGTCAGTCCAACTGAAGCGTCCTTGCTGTAGTGTTATTCGTTCACTTACCACAGGATTGGATGTTTTTGTTTTAAACGTCTGTTGATGTGTTTTTAATCTGACACAGTGGCTCTGAACGCGTCGCCCTCTTGTGGTCGTTTTCCCTCCAGTGTTTGTTATGCTTCTGTTAGATTGAATGTGCGAGTTTGCTTTGCAGTGGACGTCACTCTCTCTTGTCCAGGAGCTGCTGCGGAGGGTTAGGAGTGTGTGATCACAGTCATAGGCGAATGCTAACAGAGTTTAACAGCACTTGAGCTGTTTTCGTCTGTCATTGGGCTTCCTCTACAGCAGGTGGCAGCAGGCCCTTTTCTCGCAATTGGTTGCGCAGTGTGTTGAAGATGCCGAGCTGCTGCTCTGGTTGCAGGACGAGTAACTGCTGTAAGACCTTACTGGGGTTCGGCCCTCTGAGGGACAAAATAAAGAAAATAAATACTACAAAGAATCAAATATGCTTTAAGATGTAGAATGGCCAGACATGGAAGTGCGGATAAAATGTTGAACAATTATTGTTTTTGCAACATATCAGAAGTAAAATTGTCTAAAAAACCTTATGAGCTTTTTTTTTTTTTTTTTTACATATTATGAACATTTCTTCATCTCACATTGCAATAAAAACCTTTAAACTAATTGAACACATCGTAAAAAAAAAAAACACAATTAAAGTATAAAATCATTTAGAAATATGCCAAATAACATTTCCATATTTAAAAATATATTATCAGAGCATTTTTTTCTGTCAAGAAATCCTCTGTATAATTGCTCAAAATATCAAATGTTTTTATCTGTTGTGATCGACAATCAGAGTTATTATACTAAATGCAGCTTTCTGAAGGTCAAACAGCTGTTGTGTGTGTGTGTGTGTGTGTGACGAGCAGATCCATTTATTTGATGTATTTGGATGGCTGATGTTAAGAGTAACCTGATTTTCTCACCTGATAAAACTTGTTATGTAAACATGAACGAATGTCGCCATCAGATACTGACAGTCAAACCGATCCATTATTCCACCATGACCAGGAATGGTGTCTGCAAAGTCCTACAGAATCAAAACACAAGCTTACAGTGTAACTGTCACTCCACACAGGTAAAGTCTGCATGAAACTGATACACATTTCTGCTGAACGGGAACTAACTTTGATCTTGAAAGCTCGTTTGAAGCCGCTGGCAAAGAATCCACCAAATGGCCCGATCAGAGAGGCGAATGAAGAGAGCGCAATACTGTGGATCTGAAACGGGTAAAGGTTCACCGTTTTCTGCAGACAGAAGAAAGGCACAGACATGAGCTGCCAGTATATTATAAAGAAGCATCACTGTTAGAAAATTAGGATCTTTTCAAATGTTTGAGGAATGAAACAATCCCTGACAGCGAAAACAGCACCAAATGTTGAGTCCCTCACACCTCATCAAACTGCCAAGGCTAATTTATTGTCATTATTAGTATATATGATTGATTTTCAAGGTTTGTTCTCAAAGAGTTCATTTATTCATCTATTTTTAAACCATTACCATGATAGGATATTAATATAACTTTAACATGTTACACTTGACCTTCATATACACTTTTAATCAATCATTGTTTCAATGATATACAGTTAAAAGTAAAAAAAAATATCCAAAACTAATTCTATAATTCATATTCTGTTCATTGCTATGGTTAATACATCAATATCTCACTTTCAGGACAGAATAATGGAAAGAAAATTTAGCGCTTTCACATATTGTCTACTTTGCACCAAGGGTTTTTCTCTGTCACAAGCTGAATTTAAGCGGTGATGCGGTGACTACAAGACCAAACCATTTTCAATTCAATTTAATTCAAGATTATTTGTATATAGCACTTCTCAAAATAATTATTGTTTCAAAGCAGCGTTACTAATCATTACAGAATTTCAATCAAAATCAGAAAAGTGAAGGTTACTAGTTACTATAACATTCTTGGTAATAATATTTTTAATTAACAACTAAGTTCTAATACGTATATAGGTGATGTCTATGTGTAGATGTTGAGTGAAGTGTATTTTCCTTTTCAATAGGAGACCTCCAACATAAGTAGGAACAAGCTGCAAGACACATCTGCTTAGTTGTGCCTTTACTGAATGAGCACTGTGCTACGTCCAGCAGATCACACTATTATGTAGGGATGTCCCGATCAGGTTTTTTTGCCCTCGAGTCCGAATCTGAGTCAATTAGAAGAGCGAAGAAACAGATCCAGGATGCTCCTTTTTTTATTCAATTCACCTAATTTTAACATTCTACAACTATGTTGACAAACAAAGCACTTTTATGAGGTAGCTTGAACAATCAAGTTATAAATAACTGAATTTCTTTACTTTTGAACTTTAGTGCAAAAATAAATATAAAATTAAATCAAATATAAAAACAAACAGCACCTCAACTTTAAATAACCGTCGTAAAAGTCGTCATCAACTTTATAATACCTCCAGACCGCAGATATACTCGCGCTTTCTGCTTCAAGCTCCTGATTTTTTAAAATCATACCATTAATAAATTAGGTCGCACACTCTAGAGCCCTGATATATATTCGAGTCCTGATCAGGAGGTAATGTCAGATTCCAATTGAGTCTGAAACTGCGTGATCAGGCCCGATTTCCAATCACATGATCCGATTTGGACATCCCTGCTATTATGTCTTTCTTTTCTTTTTACCTCTTTTATAACCTCTTAAACACATTTGTTTCTGTTTTTATCTGTTTTAATCATTTTTAATTCTTTTAATCATTTTTATTTTCTTGTTTCTTTAAGTCTTGTCTGAGTAAAGCACCTTGCATTAACATTGTGTATGAAATGTGCTATATATATATATATATATATATATATATATATATATATATATATATATATATATATATATATATATGAGCTAATATATTTCCTTGCCTTGGGTAGACAAATAAAAAACATTTCACTTTTTTACACTTGACAAACTGTCTTAAAAGTATAATTCCTAGTAGCATAATAGATACTTATATATCTATCTCATTTTGTCATGTTTTAGATTATCATTAAATCATGACCCCCCTCGCCAAGAACCCCTCAGTTCCACTACTACCCCTTGTCTGATGCCCCTTCAAGTTATTACACATGAATCAGAGCTTTTGTAGTCCATGAGCTGTTGAAGTTTTACCGCGTCCAGTACTTACCCATCTTAGTGCATTCTGCACCACTGCGGGAAGTGTGTATTCCTGGATCATGAACAGATTTGAAGGCTCACACTCTACTGCAAAGCGGTTTGTCTCACTGTCATATTCCACAGGACAAACAAAGTACTGGTACTGAGAGAGCAGGTACGCAAACTGGAATAAGAGGAAGACATCAAAGTTTGAGTTGTCAGGTCATAAAGATAGTCAAGTGGTAAAATGACATTTGGGACAGACTTATTAAATCTTCTTGTATTAATAACTACTGTCAGGATTTACTTGTATAGATATTATTAAAGTGGCTCAGTGGTAAGCACTGTCGCCTCACAGCAAAAAGGTCACTGGTTCGAGCCCCAGCTGGGTCTGTTGCTGTTTCTGTGTCTGCATGTTCTCCCTGTGTTGGCGTGGGTTTCCTCTGGGTGCTCCGGTTTCCCCCACAGTCCAAACACATGTGCTTTAGGGGAATTGAATAAACTAAATTAGTATATAGTATATGTGTGTGAATGCAAGAGTGTATAGGTGTTTCCCAGTACTGGGTTGCTGTTGGAAGGGCATCTGCTGTGTAAAACAAATGCTGGATAATTTTGCAGTTCATTCACCTCTGAAACAGAGTCTAAGCTGAAGGAAAATGAATGAATGAATGAATGAGATATTATGAAATAAAATTGCTCAAACTGTTATAAAAATCAAAGCCAAAGGTCTAACCAAATTAGAAGTTTATTTCACAAAAAATAAGGTTGCCATCAATCAATGTCCTTTTTTTAATCAGTATTCTGTATTCTTCTCTCACAAATTGATACATTTCGATCCCAATATCACTTCAATCACAAAACACACAACAAATATGTAACTGTGAGTGTCAGACCTCTCTGAAGTTATATGAAGGAAAAAAAAGATACATTTAATAAATGATTTAAAGTTTATCGATATTAATGGGTAAATTAAGCAGTCACCATAATGTTTATAATAGTCAATTTACTGGTATTGGGACATTATTTAACATACTACAAAATCCTACTTAACACTGCACTTAGTAGATGTAAATGAGCTGGTAGCATCAGTGTTTAAAACTTGAGGATTCTCTGTAGAAACATCCACAGAATTTTCCACTGCCACTTTTATAGCACTGTAATCTCATACAAAATTGCATAAATCTAGCATATGGTGTTGCCTAAAGATCTATTGATGACTTACAAAAAAACTTAAGACCACTGTTGCAAAGAATCCCCCAATAAATCCTTCCCAGGTCTTCTTTGGGGAGAGCTGCAAGAAATCGAAGAGGTTTGAGAAAAGAAGCAATTTTTCTAAAAAAAAAAAATATACGTGGATTAACTGAATAACTGTGCATTAAATAATAAAAGAAAACAAATGTTTAATTATTATGAGATGAAACATCTACCATGTACGTTTCACAAGTTTACCTTAATCAGTGGAGTTCTTCCAAAAAAGAAGCCAAACAGGTAGGCCATGATGTCATTGCAGATCACAATAGAGATGGGAACAATAAACCTTAGAGAACAAAAAACAATTTTATTTTACAAACACGTATTGTAGGACAGAGGAAAACTGTGCAGTAATCAGTGATGCATTAATGAGAGAGTCCACTCAAAAATAAAATCTCTTTAATTACTTTCTTTACTTTTAACTAGTTTGATCTCCGTAACAAATTCAAAGATTTGTGATGAAATCCTAGTCCTTGGTTACCCTATATGTCAGCAAGGTTCATGAAACATTGGGAAAGGTAGCAAAAATATTATCAGAACAGTCCATGTGTTATCAGTGGTTAATTCATAATATAATGAAGATACAAGAATACTTTTGTGTGGACAAAAATAATGACTTTATTCAATAATTTCTACTCTTATGCAGCAGTTTGATGGAAGCACTGTTTGTCACACTGCAATTCAAACTGTTGAAATCTTCAAACATGGACATTTTGTTCTATTCTAATAGCTTTATTAAATAAAGGTTGAACCACTGATGGCACATGGACAGTTTTGACAAAGTTCTTGATACCCTGCATTTGAGGGTCCGAGAGCTTTCAGATTTTATCTAAAACATTTTAATTTGTGTCCCAAAAATGAAAAAAGGTCTTAAAGAATTGGGACAACATGAGGGAGTGTAACAATTAAGAGAACTTTCATTTTTGGGTGCACTGCCCCTTTAAGAAACATGGGAGAAGAGTACATTAATATGAGCTTTTTTTAAGTACTTTAATGAATTATTTTACAGAATGTACATTATGATTAGGTTAACTATAATGTGATTTTTTCTGTTCTTCTTTGATCATCTAGGTATCAGATTATCATGTGGAAAATCAGGAAAGAGAGGAATGCAGCTGTAGAAACTCAAGTAGTATAGAGGTGAAGCCTCAGACAGGTCTGTCAGGTCAGGTGGGCTTACCAGATCATTCCCTCAAACAGGTTCTGAATAACCAGATGTGACTGAGTCACCACAATCAACAAGGTCACATGGGTCCAAGCAAACTGGAATGGCAAGCACAAACAAACACACACACATAAACACAAAAAATGGGCACCCACACAGACACACACAAACACAGAGTGAGCGACTGAAATGTTGTCTAGTCACTTATAAACAATAATGTGAATGCAAAGTGAATTACCACAATCACAGCCTGATTACTGTGCTCACACAATGTATTCTCAAATGTTAATTCAGAAACATGCACTAAATATGTGTATCAAATAAAAGTTCTAAATGCTTGACAGCTAACTGTTCAAATTCATGTGCAATGGGTGACCACACTCGCAAAGGAAATGACATTTTGCTGAGATCAGTAGTTTTAGTTAACTCAGTTTATGCCGATTATTAGAAATGTTCAGCTCTTGTGGATGGACCCAACCCTAAAGCCTAACACTCAAGTTTCTGGTTAATAAATAACCAGAAACCTGCATCAAAACAAAGTCTATATATCCTGTAGGAAGTATCAGTGATAGCAAGGCATCAGATGTTTTAATGTTTTATGGTATTCATTTGGGGGTTGTGGCAAAAACAAGCAACATTATTGCTTCCATTGCTATTGTCAAAACACAAAGTTTTCAGTGCACTTTCAAGACACCAACTTTGGAGTGTAATCATTAAAAAATCCTTTTGATAGAGGAATTCTATGTGCATTTTTTTGTAAATGACTACAAAAAATAAAAATATATACTTTAAAACTGTATCACTATTTCCATAAAAAGTAGCACAACTGATTTCAACACTGATATGGAACAAATGCTTCAAGAGAACTAAATCAGCTAATTAAACTGATAGGATGCTTCTAAAGGACTTCCTGTGACACTGAAAATTGGAGTGATAATGCTGAAACTGTATTACTGGAGTAATAATGCTGAAATGGCATCACAGAAATAAATTACATTTTAAAATATACTAAAATTGATTAAAAAAAAAACTGTTAAATCATAAAAGTCATACACTGTATTTTTGAATAAATACATTTTGCCCATGTAAGCAATTTTTAAAAATGTTTTAAAATGTATATCCAACATAGAAATACTCTACAATAAAACATCTAAATGAAATGACTTCATGAAACTCTCCATTTCAGCACGACCATAATATCATGTATTATAACTTCTGTCTTGCGTACAACGTAAATGAATTCCATGCACTGACAAATTATAGCACAATTTGCAACATTTTCACAATTTCTAATGTACTGTATCTGAACACAGAATTATTAAATGTGATAAAATGACAAACAGTATTATGAAATGGGCTTATACTCAGTTTTCAATCATCCAGCACATGAAATGCACATGACTGTGAATGCAGTGGATTAGTTTAGATCTGGCTGACACATAAATAACTGATACACACCATATAAAACTGCAGGCGGTAATGTTTCTTCACTAAACTCAGTACAAACATGCAGAAACCTGTAAAAAGCAAATAACATGCAGTTAGTTTACTAGAAAATATCAACCTTATCAGAGTGATTCTAACATTCATTTTAGTTTTGGAAAATGTCCATATCACTATTACAGTATGACAGCATTACACAACATTATAAGATTAGGTTTCTCATACTTTCACAATAGACTGGATCAAATACACTGAGTTAGATCCTATACAATATATTCTGCTTTATATGATTATCACTAATGAACAGTGGTCTTGACCATTAAGAGGGGGTGGATAGAAAGCCAGGTTTAGTAAAGGAAATGACTGCAGAGAGGGACACCTGCGACTGAATGCATGCTGTGCATTGATGGCCATAGCAGAAGCACATGCGCCTTTCGTGAACACACATTTACATCTACAACTGTAGAGGTGTCTATTGTGGATCATCCTAACTAGCTGAAGTTCATGCACCTAGAGTGATGCTTTATAGCAGGGGCCCCAACCTCTAGGGTTGGAGCCCAATACCAGGCCACTACAACGCAAAACGACTCTACATGGGATCCCACTTTATTGTGTTTTTCCCCTTTAGGAAGAAATATTCATAATTGTGCACATCCTACAACGGGCGCGAAGTGTGTGCTGCACAATGGTCTAAACATTATTGTTTTTTAATGAGAGTATGCACACCAGTGCCGCCATATGGTGTCTGTTTGCGTTGCTTGGCAATGTATAGAAAACAATGGGCTGCTTAATGCCTTATTCACACTTTGTGGCTGCCTTCACTCTAGGTGGCGATTGAAGTTACTTACAGTATGATGATATTCATTAACAACGAATGAGCTTTCTTGCTTTAGAAAATAAACACTGTGGAGCTAAAACACTAAATATAAATTAATAAATAAAACTGCTTAATTACAAAGATGATTTGTGTTGGTCTACAGCACGGAGATACAACCAGTCACTGTTGCTTGTGTAGCTGGAGGTCGCCGGAAGTGACTAGCTCTCTATTGAAATGAATGGTCACTTGTTGATTTGTCGCTGCATGTTGCTTGTTGTATGAATGTGTGTTAAGATTTCTTGAAAACAGCAGGAGTAAAAAAAACAAACATCTCTCTAAAGTATTTCTTTAGGGAAACAAGCTCAATGCTGATGTTGAGTTTTTTCATATGCGCTTCATGCATTTGTGACAGATGTACAGTATAAATATATATATATATATATATATATATATATATATATATATATATATATATATATATATATATATACAAAGTGTGTGTGTGTGTGTGTGTGTGTGTGTGTGTGTTATAGACACTCACTGGCCACTTTATAAGGTACAGCTGTCCAACTGCTAGTTAACGCAAATTACTAGTCAGCCAATCACATGGCAACAACTTAATGCATTTAGGCATATAGACATGGTCAAGATAATTTTCTGTAGTTTAAACCGAGCATCAGAATGGGGAAGAATTTCGATTTTATGAGAGGGGTCTGGATGCAGACCTGGTGCAGTGCAATCTGAGCTGCATCAAATGCTTTTTAATGGGCTCGCCTAACAACACCCCTAAATACCCCTTACAGTGACGTCACTAGCTCCACTGAGTGCATTGTGTTTGACATTGCATCACTGAGAGATGCCGTGTTAGCTTGCATCATCAAGGCTGCATCCAGAAACTACTGGATTTCAGTGACTTTGAACGTGGCATGGTGCTACTCCAGTCAGCTGAGAACAGGAAACTGAGGCTACAATTTGCATGGGCTCACAAAATTGTACAATAGAAGATTGGAAAAACATTGCGGGGTCAGATGAGTCTCAATTTCTGCTGCAACATTTGGATGGTAGGGTCAGAATTTGGCATCAACAATATGAAAGCATGAATCCATCCTGTCTTTTATCAACAGTTCAGGCTGGTGGTGGTGGTGTAATGGTGTGGGGCATATTTTCTTATCACACTTTGGGCCCATTAGTATAATTGAGCATTGTGTCAATGCCACAGCCTACCCGATTATTGTTGCTGACCATGTCCGTCCCTTTATGACCACAATGTACCCATCTTCTGATGGCTACTTCCAGCAAGATAACACGCCATGCCATAAAAGCACGAAACATCTCAGACTGGTTTCTTGAACATAACAATGAGTTTACTGTCCTCAAAGGCCTCCACAGTCACCAGATCTCAATCCAACAGAGCACCTTTGGCATGTGGTAAAACGGGAGATGCGGGTTCGAGCCTTGGCTGGGTCAGTTGGCGTTTCTGTGTAGAGTTTCCATGTTCTCCCTACGTATGCGTGGGTTTCCTCCACAGTCAAAAGACATGCGCTATAGGTGAATTGGGAAGGCTAAATTGTCCATAGTGTGTGAGTTTTAATGAGTGTGTATGGATGTTTCCCAGAGATGGGTTGTGGCTGAAAGGGCATCTGCTGCGTGAAACATTTGCTGGGTAAGTTCATTCCACTGTGGTGACCCCAGATTAATAAAGGGACTAAGTTCGAAAAGAAAATGAATGAATGAATAAAATGGGAGATTCGCATCATGGAAGTGCAGCTGACAAATCTGCAGGAACTGCATGATGCTATCATATCAATATGGACCAAAATCTCTGAGGAATATTTTCAGTACCTTGTTGAATCTATGCCACAAAGGATTAAGGCAGTTCTAGAGGCAAAAGAGGGTCCAACCCGGTACTAGTAAGGTGTACCTAATAAAGTGGCCAGTGAGTGTATATTTGTGTTAATGTCGTTTTAAATAGTAAATACACAATGACACACCTAATGCTGATATTCCTCACCCTACATTTTGGGAATGTATGCAATTACAAAAATGTTTTTATTTTTATTTTATCTGACCCAAAAAAAAGAGAATTTGTTTTAAAACATAATAGTTTCAATAACAAAAGTTAGAGTGCAATTTAAAGCCTTAACTATGTTAATTAGGCTTACAATGTAAATTAGTACAACTGTTTTTTCACAAATTGAACAACACCGGTTTGTTCTCTAGCCAATCAAGAAAAATACAGTAACTTTTTTAAGGGGGCACATAATATCGACCATAAGTTTTTTTTTTTATCATTTTATTATGTAATACATATACTTTTTATTTTAGCAAAACTAAATGTAACATTTTTTATACATATAATAAAATATTATAGGAAATGCTATGAAGAAATGTCTTGCCCTGTTTAACATAGCTTAAATATAAATATTTGATAATGAATAATACATTTCACAGGAAGGCTAATAATTTTGTCTTCAGCTGAACTGCATGTCAAAGTGACCAAGCAAATAATTGAATCTAATCAAGTAATTTCATCAAGCACACTGCTTTGAATACCATTCAATATGTATAAATTATTCAAAAAAGCTAATTGTGGACTGTGGTCTTTTGACCTATCATCATAAAAACGTCTCCTCGGAGTGTTTTATGAAAGCAGTCAGTCACACTCACCTGCCAAATACAGTGCAAAAGAAATAAAGCGATGATAACGCACAAGGAACTGCAACGGTTCCTCTCTTTGGACGAGCGCACCAAAATAATCAGCCACCGTCTCTCCATAAAAGAAGTAGTTCACACAAATCAAGAAGTACCTGAAAAACAAGGTGCATAACTGTCAAGATCTGAATATTTGAGTGAAAGGTGCATATACTATTTAATGATAACAACACATGGCCGTTTACAGCCATGCTGTGAGCTTGATTTGTTTGGGCAAAGCCTGCAAGTGGGGTGTACTTTATGCTAGGTTCCAACATGGAAGTGCACTTTGCTCAAGTCCAGTTAATCACTACTTTATCTATGACAAAAGGTGACTGGAAAAACGTGAGAGAGAGAGAGAGAGAGTGGGTGTGTGTTTGTTTGTAGTTCAGTGAGCCTACATGAATGTAAAGTACATGAATATAAGAGAAGGGGGAAGGGTGGAGAGATGGGGAAAGAGTTACTAGGTGAAAGAGAAGCTAGTCTGTGTTTTACTTACCAGCTAAGAGTCCTAAACCACGGCAGCTCATAAGAATGGTAAACTCTGTAGCCTATGGTTATAATTTCATGAAAACATTTGATTTGAACACCCATAACCTATAAAAAAATACAAAAAATGTAAGTTAGTCAGTGTTGTAAGAATTGGGCGTCTTCCTAAAATCACTGTTATGATTCAAATGAACTTTTAACCAAATATATTTATGTAACGTTGAGTCAGGAGAGGTTAGAAATAGGGATGTGCAAGAGCACGAGACTCATTGACTAAATGCTGCTGCTATATGAAGACAAATATTAACGGTTTATTCATTTGCTTGTTTGTTTTGCTTTATGGTTTTACAAAAGCTACATTCTAATTATTGTCATGTTAATGTTAAACTGAAACTATATTTCCTTTAAAACAATTAATTTAATCTAAACAGACTGCTTAAAGGGATAATTCACCCAAAACTGAAAACTCTGCATCATTTCCTCATCCTACACTTGTTTTAAACCTGTTTGAGTTTCTTTCTTCATTCTTTTGAACACAAGGAGGATGTACTGAAAAATGTTGAAAACCTGAAACCAACTGACTTCTATAGTATTTGTTTTTCCTATTATAGATGCCAATGGTTATAGGTTTTCAGCCTCGTTCAAAATAGCTTCTTTTGTGTTCAGCAGGAGAAAGAACAGGTTTGAAACAAGTTAAGAGTTAGTAATCTCCCTGACTGATTTGAATCAATTTAAGATTTAGTCGGGTGAACTAAGGAAGTGGTTCTTAAAGTGTGGGTCGGGACCCCCCAAAGTGTCACAAGACAATGAAGGGGGGCTGGGGGTGATTTCGCCTGGTGATTTCCAAAAATCTATTTGTTTTTATTAAAGCATAAGAATTACCATATTTTATCCATAACCTACTGAGGAGAAAAATAGTCGTTTATAGTTACTATAGTAGCTTATAGTTACTAGTCCTATTGGATTGCGACCCCTGGGGTAATTACATTATGTTAAACACACAGCAATAGCGTCAGATGCAGCAGATTTTATAACACCATGTTAAACTTTCTGGCTCATATACAGCACTGACGACATACATAAAAAAAAATTAACGAAGAATAGACTTGGGTCTCTTAGTGTATGTGCGCCGTTGCATGCAAGGTTTCTGTATTTATAACCACCTCAGAGGATACTGGGGTCGCGAGTCACTGACATTGTCATTTTGGGGGTCACGGGCTGAAAAGTTTGGGAACCCCTGAACTAAGGGATAGTTCACATTGGAATGAACTGCCAATTAAATAATTTTACACAGCAGATGCCCTTCCAGTCACAATCCAGCATTGACACTACAACCCTCAGTGCTGGGGAACACCCACACATTCTTCCATTCCCACACTACGGCCAATTTAGTTTATCCAATTTACCTATATTGCATGTTTTTGGAGTGTGGGCGAAACCAGAGCACGTGAAGGAAACACACACAAACTGGTGCAGATGGGACTTCTGGCTTTGAGACAACTAACTATGCTAACCACTTAGCCACCTTCCCACTTAAATGTGAAATATTATGACCGAAACTTACTTGATGATAACAGTCACTCCATAAATAGCCAGTCAGATATAATAGACCTAGATGTACAGCTGCCATTACACTACAAGTTTTTCTAAAGATTTGTCATCTGTCATGTGAACACGGATGAGTAAATGGTTGCTTTGCTAATGAACAACAATGTCAATTCCAGTTGTAAAAGCAACAAATAATAACTTCTAGTTGATAATTTGGAAAAGTGTCAGAAGGTACCGATGAATCATCTGTTGTTGAACTGCATCCCAATCATCACAAATACTGCAGAAGACCTACTCGAACCCACGTGGACCCAAGTTTTCACAGAAACCAGTCATGTTTGGTGAAGGTAAAATCATGGTTTGGGGTTACATTCAGTATAGGGGCGTGCAAGAAATCTGCAGAGTGGATTGCAACATCAACAGCCTGAGATATCAAGACATTTGTGCTGTCCATTACATTACAAACACCAGGAAAGGGGAAATTCTTCATCAGTATAGCACTCCTTCTCATACTTCAGCTTCTACATCAAAGTTCCTGAAAGCAAAGAAGGTCAAGGTGCTCCAGGATTGGCCACCCCAGTCACCAGATATGCACATTATTGAGCATATCTGGGGTAGATGAAGGAGGCATTGAAGATGAATTCAAAGAATCTTAATGACCTCTTGGAGTTCTGCAAGAACGCTTTCTTTGCCATTCCAGGTGACTTTATTACTGAGATATTTGAGTCATTGCAGAGATGTATGGATGCAGTCCTTCAAGCTCATGTGAGTCCTACACAATATTCATTCTGTTTCCACTGCAGGATGACTTTATATTCTATACTGAATACTGACATATTTCTGTTAAGTGACAAGACTTTTGTCCAAGCAGAGTCAGAACTTACTGTCCTAATTAAATTATTCAAAATCAAGGCATGATATATTTTTTGTCACTTTTTTTTACTGGTTTATAAGTCGAGTGAGTTATATCAAAAATCTGTTTAATAGTTAATAAAAGTAGCCGGTGTACACATCTCTACTAATAAATATGCTGAGAAAAATATGTAGCCTAAAGGAGGGAGTCAATGTTTGGTCTAGGAACAATGGTCAGAGCCATGCTAATAGTCACGCTAATTATGTTTGTGTGGTAAATATATAGCTTGTAGTACTTACCACTATTATAAGCATAATGGGTCCCAAATAGATGATAAGGAAGAAGCCGATAATCATTGTCAATGACAATATCCCTCTTATCCACCAGTTCTTCCATCTGTTGACATTAAGACATACATTACAAAAAAATACAAATCTACTTGAAAAAGTAGGACAGGGATGCACCAATATGATATACTAAACTATCCACAAACCTAGTTTATATTTCAAATTATGATTATATATTATTAGATATTTTTTTTTAATCAGTTATTTTTCTATAAAATGAAGAAATATTTAACAGACTGTGTGATGTGTTACAGATTTATTAGATAACATATTTTACACCAATTTTACACATACAGCATTACTACACAATACAGTATATAGAGTAAACACAGGTGTTGCATCAGTACTGGCCGACACACAGAATTCCTGATGCATAATTCAAAGAAAACTACAGATATGTAGAAAGTCTTTCAAAACAGTTTTTAAGCAGAACTGGTAGTGAAAGTAGTGGAAATTATGCAGTATGGAATGTAACTAATGATGGACTAGTGCTTTTCCTCATTGCTAAAATGCGGGTGTGTTGAAATGAATGACATGGCATGTGCAAAATGATCCAGTCTGTAACAAAAACATCTTAAGATTTAAGCTTCCCTGTAGATCATTTAACATGTATTTATGATGTTCTGAGACCAAAACCAATGGGGCACATTATTACGCTATGTAACAAACAAGGCACCATGAGAGATGTGGATTCTCAGTTTTCTGTCCCACAGAGTAATAAACTGTGTGCAGGTGCCACAACTCTCGCATGCCACTGAAAAGAATGAGAGGGAATTTGTCAATGGAGAGGAAGAGAAAGGGAGGGGGAGGAGAGAAACTGCAGCATCATCACAAAGTGTGTTTGGTAGCCAGACGCCAGCATTCAGGCATGTCGCCTGTTTTGGACCAGCGCCTCTGCGGTCTTTTAAAGAGGCTGCAGCAAATCCCACCAACAGAGCAGCAAAACTGACAAGGATTACGAGCGTTCCTAATAAAGATCTTGTTTAATCTCCTGGAGAACTTTTCAACCCTTTGACCGACCCCTTAACCTCATCTGCATATCAAATATCTCTAGAGTCTGTCCTATTGATCAGAATCAAAGGAAAGTGCTGAGCAATATAACAGGATTAACCAGATCAAATGTACAAGTCACTGTTTTCAAGCCCTCATGTATGGATGGAACTGCTTAAAGAGATTATTGGCGCGCTGGTTTTCTAGTGAAAACAGGTTGAACCAGTCTGCTTAAGACCTCAGAGACTCAAAGATTCCCATGTGCAATGAACTGGAGCCTAAACATCCGTACAGGTACGAAACGCAGACATGGAGTGTTTGGGGAGTTGCTGGTGGGTACCTGGATGATAAGCCCTCCAGGGCTTTGTTGAGACACTGTGGAGTGTTGTCTGTGGAAGGTGGCGCGTCAGGCGTCTCCGCTTTGGAGTCGCCCACCATTTCTCCATCTCCTTCATCAGGAAAAGCGAGCCTGTCATCTCCATCTGCTTCCTGTAGAGTGCAAACACACAGAGTGAGAAAAGAAACAAAGTACTCGATTAATTCACTTACATCAGAGCAGATTATTATATGCGATTTACAATAAAAAACAAAAAACACACATCATGACACAAAATTAACTGTTAACTTGCTCTTTAGGGTTGCTCCTATCCTAAAGCAGCAATAAAAAAATATATATATATTTTTTTCCTACTGAATTCTGACTCCAGCAGATATTGTTAGATATACAGATATGCAAGGCCAGTTCCCATCTACTTTAATGGAGAAATACCAGAGTTTCAAAAACTGATACATTATACATTTCAAACCAGTAATAATAGATGACCATATCTCAGCCATATATTGCCCTATCATAACAACCCAAAATCAAAGGAAAGCTTATTTATATTAAATCTCACTTAACAATAATGGTTTAGTTTTTATATTAGTTAGTCGTGGAAAGGTTATTTTACTTTTTTATTCATTCATTTTCCTTCAGCTTAGTCCCTTTATTAATCAGGGGTCACCACAGCGGAATGAACCGCCAACTTATCCAGCATATGTTTTACACAGCTGATGCCCTTTCAGCTGCAACCCAGCACTGTGAAACATCACACTCATTCACACACATACACAACGGACAATTTAGTTTGATTAATATACCGCATGTCTTTGGACAGTGCAGGAAACCGGAGCACCTGGAGAAAACCCATGCCAACACGGGGAGAACAGGCAAACTCCACACAGAAATGCGAACCGTCCTAGCCGAGACTCAAAACAGCGACCTTCTTGCATTGATGCAACACTGGCAACCACTGAGCCACCTTGATGGCCTGTTTTACTTTTTTATATGGTGTATATTTCAGGTTGCTCTATAGTCAAAGAGCATTTGCTGTGATATGCACAGGTTTAAGAACAAAGACTTTCTATAGGAATAGTGAATTTCCATGCGAAACTGAAGCTGCAGTGATGCAGTGACTTTGCTCTCTGTAATTTAAAAGGCAGGTCAGCAGCCATATACTGTGCTGCAGTGATGATGTATTTTTCTAGACATGGTTTCTCTCAACTAAGCAACCAATATGGTTTTTCTATTGGCTTATAGATTATTATAGAAATTTTACTCAGCCTAAACACTCACTCCCTCACTTTCCTTTAGCTTGTTCCCTGCTTTATCTGGGGTAGTCACAGCAATAAACAATTACTCTGACAGAGTACAACCCTCAGTGCTAATTTAGTTATTCACCTTGCATGTCTTTGGACTGTGGGAGAAACCTGAGCACCCGGAGGAAACCCACAGTCACGAGGAGAACATGCAAACTCCACACAGAAAGGCCACCTGGTCCAGCTGGGTCTCAAACCAGCGACCTTTTTGCTTTGAGGCAAAGATGATAACCACTTCGCTACCACGCTGCCTCTACCTAAAAACCTAAGTTCAATTATCAGAATACAAATCTAATTAAATGTAGGCTCTAATTAAACTACACTATGATTGTGTGATTTTAACATCACCACGACTACGCTTCCAACTTTATCAATCCAAAGAGAAACGCAGCTCTTCAGGGAAATCACTGATTTACTAGTCAAAGTAATGGAGACTGACGGTCAACATGGTATTAGCCAGCATATCTTATGCAAATACTAGACAAATGCTTCAGAAGAAAATCAATCGGGCTTAAGGACATGGCACCTGAGTAGGTGCAGTACAGTAAAATGAATGAATATACTCGTCTGCTTGGCTGAAGGTGAAGAGAGGTTGCTTTCTCATTTTTCAGTCCTGGCCAGTGCAACCATGAGCAAAAAAACAATCAAATATGCCGGTTAACGGTCCCAGAAAAAGCAAATAGTTCAAGAGATAGAGAACATACTAAAAGAGAAGATTGACCATCTTCATAGCACAAGTATTCTATACATAATATTACAAATGATGTCTTACTGAAATATATATATATACTACGGATGTGACAAGATCTCGGGCTATCAAGACAAAATCGAGATTTCTCGTCGAGGTGAAAAGGTGTCTCGTGAGTTGTGATGTTATAATGGAGCTTGAGGGTGATTTAAGCACTGAAGATTGAATGCAGGATTGAATTTCAACCGCACATCAAGTGCTTTGTGCACACCATTGGCAACCAGGGGTGCCTCTGTGTTGACCGTCACTCGTTTGTTTGAGCGGGTGTGACATAACCACTTTTTTACCGGAGTTCAAGGGTTGCCACGTCCAAAAGCAGAGGCTGCTACAACTTCTGCTATTAAATTATTAAATTAACCAGTCCGTAACCATGCTATGGAATAGCACTTTAGATATACTTAAAGCCATAATCGCCATAAACACAAATGGAATTAAGACGTGGAGTATTATTGAAGTGCTTACTGAAATTCAGTACAGACATGCAAGCGCTGTATCAAACTATTACCATCGTGTAGGACTTTTAGCCCCATTTGTGACAGGATAAGCCATACACACGCGGCAGTTTGACACCACAGACTCGATAGGTCCAGAGAATAAAGGACCACAGAAACACACATCTCCCCCGAGTGTGCGCACACACACAGTGAACTCCTGGAGACACACACTCCAGTCATCGTCATCGTCAACATCGTCATCATCATCATCATCTCAGAACACATGTTAAAAATTTTAATTTAAAAAGGAGTTTGATTTCTCATGTGAAACTGTACCGGGGATAAATCAGTCAGTAGATTTTATAGCTAAATAGTTTGCAGTATATATTTGATTAAAATAGAAGTTTAATAACATTCATTACAAGTTGATTTAAAAAAGAACATAAACAGTTTTGCATTTTGTGATTTTTTTTCAGTTGAATAAAAGACTATTTTCCATTTATATATTTCATCGATCAAGATTTTTTGTTAAAATAGTGTAAAAATCTCGTCTTGTTCTCATTCTCATGAACCCAATCTTGTTTCTCGTCCCATGGAGTAAGCGTCTCGTCACACCCCTAGTACGTACAATAAGTTTATATTCAGCGGTAAAGTGCTCTCCCTTAAAAATAAGTTATAGCATTCTGACCATGCAACCAAAAGTGGAAGAAGTCTTCTTGACAATTTAGTTAGAAAAGTTGAGGCTGTTTTGTCTTATTTAAAGTACTTTGTGGTTTGTAACACAAGTGTAAGTGTTGGAAAAAAGGATGTCACAGCAATGTCTCTGTGTCATGAACTAAACGCACTCACTCTCTGTTTGCGTTGTGTTATTCATTTAGTCACGCTGATAATTGGTCACCATTGCATAGTAGCACTGTTTTGTTTCGCTTCTGTTTAGAATACCATTTGACATTTTCCTCAAAGTACAGAAAAGGTCATACATTTTTAAAATTCGTCATGACTCAAGTGCAACTTTTAGCAATCCCAATCTCTTAAAACAACCGAAGCTTGTGAGTCTGAATCATCTTTAATATTCACTGATATCATCAGAATAAAGAAGTGGTGCTGGCTAATAAGAATCAGTCATCTGCAATTTGTTAGCCTTTACATGTGATTTCAACAGCAATGGCCCACATCCTGGCAAGCCTGATGTGTAATTGTCTCCTAATCTACAATAAATCTGTAATCTAAATTTAAATGCAATGCTGGTGCTTTAGTTCACAAAGAAGCTGATCCATGCCTTTCACCCTGAGCAACAAAATATTGCAAGTTAAAGAACAAGATGCCAACAGCAGCTTGACTTAAAGCACAGAATACGCAAGTAAAAACCACCACAGAAAACAAACTACAACCTGATAAGGTATGAAGAAGTATTATTGCATTTTTGCATAGCTACCTTGTATCTGTAGGGCAGTGGTTCTCAAACTGTGGTATGCGAGTTTTGAAAGAAAAAATGAATACAATTTTAATCACTTGATGCATACGATAACACCAATGTGATCAGCATTGGCTGTTCTCTAAAGCCTACGATCAAAGCGCTGTGCTTAGAATGTTTACTTTAGTGCATCGTGTCATCAGCTGCTAAAAAACAATCCAAATGGCGCAGAACTACAGAAAGAGGTGCGTGGTTCTTGCAGAGCAGATACGCGCTAGAGCAGTGGTCCCCAACCCTCGGGCCACAGACCGGCACCGGTCTATAGATCAATTGGTACCGGGCCGCACAAAAAATCATTAATTATTTTCGTTTTATTTATTATCCGAGTCTGAACGATCATTTATTTTGAAAAAACTTTTATTTTGAAAAATGGCCGTATTCTCTTGTTACATCTTGGTCACTTGAGCATCAAAATTTAACCCACAGGCTAGAAAATGAGTAAGAACTGCAGCATGACGCGCTTGCATATTCCAGGCATACCTAGTTAAAAACATCTTAACTTTTTAGAATGCCACGAGTTACGTGACAAGAACCGACGGATCAGCTTCATATTTTAAATAGAATATGATTTCGTTAGACTAATTATCTCAGACAAACACTGAACACCCAAACACTGCAGTGCTTTTTAATTTTTTCCGTAAATAAAACTTGAATCAGAGTACAGCAATGTTTTGTCAGCTTGACATCCTCAGAGAAAAACGGGTTCCCTACCAATCTACATACAAGTTAAAGTTTAGATTTCAAAATTTTACAAATGTCGAATGTACATGCAATATATTTAAACATTTATCAAAAATGTTATAAATATGAATATGATTCTGCCTCGAACTGTGCAGTGCTGTAGCTGCTTAATTTGGCCAACTATGCTACTTTATTTCAATACTGGTCATTTTGGTGGTACTTGGAGAGACAATTTTTTTGAGGTTGTACTTGGTGAAAAAAGTTTGAGAACCACTGCACTGCAGGTGCTTTTTTTTCCCCCTCGGAATAATATTTCTAAAGAAGCTATTGACAAGGAATTGAACCAGGTTTTGGTAAAAACCAAAATAATACAAACATAAATGAAACAAAACAAAACAATTTGAAAAAATAGTCATGTGTAATAACAGTGGAATGACACAAGGAGAAAGTTCTGAAATTCTGAAATATATTAAATACTTTATATAAAGGGCTTTTTGTTTATGGCAGCTTGAAG